ATACTGGATCTGAAATACAGAAGGGCTTTTTCCTATACACAACTGTTGGTCCTTTATCAGGACACATAATGTCATGTAAATAACCTTCAATATACCCCAAATCATTTCAGGATACCCTAAACTAGTTACTTCTTCCAAACCTCCAATTCATTCATACAGTCTAAGTTTAAGATTTTTTTTATGCTGTCTTTAACTTATTATCTATATCCACACTGCTTTCAACTCTTTCAGTGATGCTTTGGTAGGTATTCATAATTAAAGACGTGAGGAAGCCTACCACCAAAACCCACAAATACCAGAAAGAGGATTAATTTCTAGTGGAAAATCAATGGTAATTTTGATTTGGAATAAAGACATTTAATGTTAAGCACTCTAAACAATGACACAGAATATGGATTTAAGTCATAAGACAAAATATACCATCTAAATTCTATATGGAAGTACAAACACATCAGTTTTTATCTGTCCCCTCAACATAAAGCACCATAATTAAATAGTTAGGGCTTTCTATACAAGATGCCTAACTCATAGAGGAGGTAATTGAATGATGCGCCAATCATTCGGTGGTACACTGCACTGTCATTAAACGTCAGGCAATAAGTGCTGCGTGAAGGGATAGGAAATAAATCCTGAAGCACTTCTCAAGCTGTCAAGCACAGATCCAATAGCATTGTTTCATCACTTCACTGCTTTTTGCTGTTGTCTTCTGGAGTCATAGCAGTATTGCTTGGGGAACCATACGATACCGGAAATCAAATTCAGGACTTCTACACACACTCCAGCCCTTTGCATGATTTCCCTGGCTCCATCACTGCCAAATTTACAAAATAGTGATCCTATTTTATAAAATAGTTTATTTATATGTATATAAGTTTAAAAATTTACCCAAAATAAGAGTTTTGGATGTGAGTGTGAGAGAACGCCTTATTATTTTAAATCTTTGGCACAAATGCTTTATACAGTCATCAAGAAAGAGTGTGTGTGGACATCGAATGCTCAGATTTTTCCATCCAGAATTGCAATTTCCTTCCCTGCCTCTCCTGTGCACAAGGGTACTTTCAAATGATAGAGTCACTTGAAAGAGTACTTTAGCCAGCAAATTACAGTTTCTAAGGTCAGAACACAAAAGGCTGTATGGGAAGTTGATGAGCAGTAAACCAAGTAAGAGGACTTTAGTATCTTCTTATGTGTTATGGATACTACCATCAGCTTTACAATGTAGCACTGTCCTCCTGTTGTTCATCAATATACCTGAGCAGGCACCAGTAACGTCTCCATTGTGAGACCTGTTGTTACTGTGTTTGGCATATCTAATATGCCCTGGGGAGCTTGCCAGGCTCTGCCATATGGGCGGGATACTCTCGGTAGCTTGCCGAGAAATGAACCTGGATCAGCCACGTGCAGGGCAAATAAATGCCCTACCTACTGTGCTATCGCTCCAGTTCTACTATACATACATTAAAAAAAAAATTATAAAAAAAAAAAAAACAAGGGACCAGAAAATGCGTTTGCGTCTACTGGAAACCAACAAGAGGTTCTTGGGAATTTGTTAAAGGACGTCATACTCTTAAACATTCCCGATCAAAGCAGTGCATCATTTAAAAAGCAGGTCTGAGGGTTACTGAGGGGTACTTGCAGCAGAGGTGCACAAACCCAGAGCTCCCAAATCATGTGCTGAAACCTTAAGAACCATTCTCCTCCAGCCCCTAAAAAGCAGACTACATCTAAGCAACCACTTTAGCAATTTTTTTTCCCTCTGAAGAACAGTCAAAATGTTTTACATCTAAGTAGGTATTTCTCAGTTTCCTGGGAAACTAATATAAAATGGAAATAAAGACATAAAGGGCAAACTATCAAAGTGACTGTACTTTGGATTTGGTATCCTGACCTTGTTTCTATGGAAACAATAGACAAATGATGAAACTGAAGTTTATCTGATCACTTTTTAAGGGGGGGAAAATGACAACAAATTGAAATTTAACTGTAAAATACAGAAAGCAAATTCCATTCTCCTAACATCTATTTTTTTCAATTTTTCTGATTTAATACTCCTTTATCATAGCTTTGTGCTTAATGTTTTGTACTTTATCAGCCCTCATGACTGCTTTGAAAGTCTTACATGCTCACCTTCAATTTGAGATCATCAGAACAAACTGATACATATCAACCTGGGGCTGGAATGACAGCACAGAAGGGAGGGCACTTGCCTTGCATGTGGCTGATCTAGGTTTGATCCCCGTCATCCCAGTTGGTTTCCCAACTGGTCAGGAGCGATCCCTGAGTTCAGAACCAGGAATGAGCTCTGAGCACAGTCGGATGTGGGCCCAAAAAACAAACAAAACAACATAAAATATATCAACCCCACTTAACTGATTAGTAGACTTGGGCTATTATTGCATTACCTCTACCTTTACTGGTTTTGTTTTGGGACCACACCTGGCGGTGTTCAAAGGCTACTCCCCACTTAGAGCTCTGTGTCAACCCAGGCGGTGCTTGGGAGACCAGGCAGGGCAGAGTATCAGACCCAGACCTCTCACATCAAAGCATTTACTCAAGTCTTGGTCATCTCCCTGGCTGGTATTCTCCTCTCCTTTATCCTTATTCACTATAATAAATGGACAGACAGGATGTGTGCTATGTACAAGAAACTTGGAATGGTTGCGAGATCAGACTAAGCTTGAGATAGGCCTACCATATGGTAAAATTAGGAATACAAGATGCACTCTAATAAGTTTTTAAGGACCCCAAGAACTGAAGCTGACATAGCTACTCTCTCCATGCGGGTCTCTAATATTGAGTACTTATGTGACTCATATTTCAGATTTCTAAGTCTCGAGTTCTTTACAAGCAATACAAAGAGAATGTACATGTTCTCATTGGTAACTGAAAGTGCCCAAATAAGACATGCATGAAAGCGTATATCTTAAAAGATTTATATAGATGTCCTATTTTGGTCTCTCATCCAACACTACTCATTATATAAAACTGTATATCTTAAAGAGAATTCAAATCTTTAAAAAAAATTAAACAGAAGTTCGATTTTGATCTCCTGTCCAACACTACTCATCTGATTTATAAAAATTTGCCAGAGGCTTATCTTCTAGCACCAAGCAGTGCAGAAATCTTTGCAAGTACTTACATGCTTTGCGTTTAAAGACACAATTCATATAGTTTATTCACTCTTTCACAATATTTGAATATTCTGAAAAGGAGCATTTCCCAGCTACAAAGGCATATCCATCAAATGGGTGGATCCACAAGCTTAATTATTCTCTTAGAAAAGTTACAAGTCCAATGTAAGTTTAAATAAAAGAGCAATATGGTATCTGCCCTACATAAATGAAATAATCTTTGACATTTAAATGAAACAAATGAGCTATTCTGGGTTTGACTTTTTTTAATGATACAAAGTCTTTGACTTAAAGAACAGTCTTCATTAAAGAACCACTTTGTTATCCAAAATTATTCTTACCTAGTCTCATCCCTTTCCAAAACTCAAGAACAAAAAAAAAAATATATCAAACATTCCACCTCTGTTACACCCACAGACCTGAGCTTAGTGAAGAACTTCCACCTCAATGTGCTTAGTTCTTACAACTGAACAGAATTCTACTGGCAAGCGGGGGAGGAAGAAGTGGAGACAAGCATACTTATGCAGGATCTGACATCTTAATTCCCAACCCTTAACACTAGGGAATCAAAGTCTCCATCTGCTTTTTTCTCTACAAACTTTTGGCCATAGTCGTATCAATCCACGCCAGCCTCCTTGAGGAAAGGGCAACGTGTGGAATGGTCCACGCAGCGGAGCTGAAATACTTGGCCGCAAGTGAGAAATTTTTACCTAAAGGAATTTCGACAGGGTGTCCTTTAGGTTATAAAATTTAAAAAAGTAACCCCCTTTCTCTGCTGCTCTGCCAGTAATATAGCAATCCTTTCACCATTTCTAAAAGCCTCCTCTCCCACCATTTTCTTCCACTGTTCAGATTGTGGTTGGAAAAGAATAAAAACCAGTGTTCCTTCAAGGCGTCTGAAAACCATCTGCCTGTTAAAAACAGCACGTAAACTCTCCTATGTCAGTCTCTATTATGAAGTTAAAGAAACCCCAAACATCTACGTCACAATTGTCCTGAGTGTCAACTACTTAAAGAAAAGGGACCAAGATAACGGGTGGGACAGCGGAGCCCATACCTGGTTCCTACGCTCAGGTGCCCACACACCTATGCATAAGTTAGCGCACAGGAGAGGGAGACTCCGTAAAGGGGTATTGACGTTTCACTGTGAAAAGGGAGTGAATCTTAAAAAAGAAACAAAGGAAAGAAAAAAAAAAGTCAAGTCCCAAGGGATGTTCAAATAGCGCCTTAGGGTCTCGGGGTCAGGCTGGGGATGAATGGGAAAGGGTGGGAGATTTGGGTGTCGAGAGGTTCAAGACACTGAGCGGCCACGGGGAGGAAGAAGGGGAGGGGAGCAACCTCCGTCCCGGTGCCCCGGGAATCCGACTCCAGGCAGGATCCCAGCGAAGGCGCCCCGGGATCCGACTCCGCTCATGTCTTGAAGCAAGAGCTGTGGGATCCAACTCCGGACGGGATCCCGGCGCACCAGCCCCGGGATCCAAGCACCGGGATCCGACTCTGGGCAGGATCCCGGGGCCCGAGCCCAGGGAACCTGACTCCGGGCAGGATCCTGGCGCCCGAACCCCGGCGATTTGACTCCGGGCAGGATCCTGGTGATCTGACTCCGGGCAGGATCCCGGCGTCCGAGCCCCGGGGATTGGACTCCGGGCAGGATCCTGGTGATCTGACTCCAGGCAGGATCCTGGTGATCTGACTCCGGGCGCGACCCCGGCGCCCGAGCCCCGGGGATCGGACTCCGGGCAGGATCCCGGAGATCTGACTCCGGGCAGGATCTTGGCGCTCGAGTCCCCGGGCGTGGGGGGGCCGCCACCACCAGAGGCTGCGCTCCGGAGTGGACGAGGGAGGGCGCGCCGGCCGCCGCCCCCTTACCTTCGGGCATCTCCCGGTCGCTGATGTGCTGCAGGTGGTGGCCCTCGCCCGCTCCCAAATCCAGCTCGCCGGGATCCACGGCCGCCGCCTCCGGCGCCACCACCACGGCGTCCCCGGCGGCCGCCGCAGCCGGCTCGGGCGCTGCCGCCGCGGCCGCCACCGCGTTCCCGGCGCCGGTCGCCGGCTCCCGCGCTACCGCCGCCGCGTTCCCGGGGGCCGCCCCGTAGGTGTCTGCCGCGTCGTCGGGCGCCGCGGACCCCCGGCGCCGGCCCAGCTTGGGGCTGGCATTGGGGGACACGCAACAGGACAGAGTGTTCCCCATGGGGCGCCACCACCGCTCCTCGCCGCCGTGGGCTGCACAGTTGCCCCGACGCCGCCGCCGCCGCCGCCCTGGGCAGGCGCCCCCTCCCCCAACAATGGCGCGCCCGGGTCCTGGCAGCAGCCCCCGCTAGTCCTCTGGCCCCGCTGGCTCGCCCCCTCCGACCCCGCTCGCCGGGCCCGGGCAGGGCCCCGGCCCCGGCCCCGGCCGCACCCCCGCTGCCGCGCTGCAGCCGCCTCCTCCCCCGAGTCAACTACTCTGCGAGGGCGGTGACCAGCCCAGCTTATTTAAAAGGGGTGGGAACCCGACGAGCGCTGAAAAGCGCAGCCACTGCCGGGAGAGAGCGCGGCCAGAGCTCCTCCTCCTTCCGCCGCCGCCTCCTAACTGAAGGCAGCGCGACCTGGCCCGCGCCCACCAACCGGAAGGCGTCCTGAGATCACCTGGTTTGCCGGGGCCCAATCCCGCCCAGAGTTCCCGCCACGCTCCCGCCCCGCAGCCCACGCACGTGACTCACAAAGGCCCGCCCCCGGCCGCCCCGCCCCGCCCACCTCGCGGAGCGCTGGGGACTCGGGTTTCCATTCATCGGCCGCAGTCCCGAGCGAGCTTTCCGGTCCTGCGGGAAGGGCCAGTGGCGGCGGGGTGGGGGCATTCATTTGTCCCAGTCGGCCGCGGCCAGTGGGCTCTAAAGAAAGTCCCTGTTAGTTAAAAACTTTTAAAAAATGCCGGTTCCCTTCTTACCTCGGTTTCTCCAGGTCTGACAGCTGACTCATTGGCTGTTTGGCTCACCCAACTTGAACACCTGAGTTGTGACCGTTTGGGGAACTTCGTGTCCCCCTCCTGCCCTCCAAAAAAAGTGTTCGTTCCCATCTGCAGTTTGACCACAGCAAACTCACCCTCCCTCCCACGCCCCCCACCACCTGCCCGGATCCCGTAACGGGCTGTGACCGTTCGTCCAGAGTGAGGCTGGAGGACACGTCACTCCTCCGCTTCCCGGGCAGTGGAACCGAGACTTGAGTTCGTCCCCTCCCTGGCGCGATACATCGGGGCTCATCAAGTCACTTTCCCCCAACCACCACTGCAGACACTTCCAGGTTTCTGGTCTTCAGCCAACTCCAAACGAAGAAAACACGATTTTCTCTTACACGTGAAGAAGCATGCCATGGGATTTTTCACGGTCCTGGCTTGATCATGAGAACATCTGGCAAGCACTGGCCATGCACCCGATTCTTCCAAGGGAGGTGGTCCATTGACTCCCATCTCCCCACACCATTTTACCGAAGAAACTGTGAAGCAGAAGTGACTTTTCCAAAGTCACGTGATTGCTCAGGGGTGGAGCTGGGATTTGATGCCAAAAAGTCTGGGTCCCCACAGGCCCCTTATGGTGATTACCAGAACGTAAGGTAGAAATACAAGCTGGGAGGAGGAGATCTTATTTATTTGGGTGGGTGGGGGTGAGTTGTTTTGGTGGGGGTTTTTTTGTTTGTTTTTGTTTTGTTTTGTTTTGGTTTGGATGTGGGTGGGTGTGTTTAAGGCTTTCGGTTGTCTGCACGTGGAGTCTCTTGTATGTGCCGGGCACTTGTATGTGAGAGACCAGTTGAACAAGGAGACTTGATCTGGTGCTTTCTGAGTGAGGTCACTTTAGACACAAGGAGGATTGAAGGAAGCCACGAGACTGCTTAGGAGACTTTATCTGCTGGGAAAGGATTGTAGACCATTTGGCAGGAAGAACAAAAATGCTCGCTATGAGGAGGGAGGGAAGGAAAGGGAAAGAGGGAGAGAGAGAGGGAAGAAAGAGAGAGGAGGGGAGAAGAGAGGAAGGGGGAGAAGGGGAAGAAAGGGAGGAGAGGGAAAGAGAAAGAGGAGGGGAAAAGGAGGGAGGGGGAGAGAGAGAGATAGAGTGTAGTAGAGCTTCTGGTTTGGTGTCCTGGGTAGAAAGTGGTGACCACCTACACCAACCAACAAGAGGAATCAATTTGAAGTTCCAGATCAACTTTTGGCTCTGTTAAGTGAAAGACTGAAATAAATAGTGTTTTCTGGATGAGTTGAATATAAACTTCAATAGGTTAAGTTCACTTTCTTTTTTAAATTTTTATTAGTGAAACACCATGAGGTACAGTTGTAGACTTATAAATTTTTGTGCTTGGGTTTCAGTTATACAATGATCGAGTACCCATCCCTCCACCAGTGCCCATTCTCCACCACCACTGATCCCAGGTATTCCTCCCACACCCCATTCCCCCATCCCACCCTGCCTCTGTGGCAGGGCATTCCCTTTTGTTCTCTCTCTCTTTTTGGGTGCTGTGGTTTGCAAAAGAGGCAATGAGTGGCAGTCATGTTCGGTCTATAGTCTACTTTTAGCATGCATCTCCCATCCTGAGAGGATCCTCCCAACACCGTTTATTTGGTGCTCCCTTCTCTATCTGAACTGCCATTTCCCCTAGAGTGTATGGCTTGCCTCCAAGACATGGAGTAAGTCTCCTGGTACTTGTCTCGGCTATTCTTGGGTGTTAGTCTCCTATTTTATTACTTTAAGTTCCCCAGATGAACGCAATCTTTCTATGTCTATCCCTCTCTTTCTGACTCATTTCTAAGTTCATGTTCTAATAGCCCAACTTATGTTTTTGAAAATAACATACAAAAAAAGAAGAAATTTGGGAAATTGATTTACACACTGAGAATATCATTTAGGAGCTATGCTTTTGGTAAACGAGGCATCCAAAGTAGAATAAATAAAAACTGCTTCAATTTTATTGTCCTAAAAGTGCATGAAATTTATCTGAATGTATTGTCTTAAAGAAGTATGTACTTACATTAAGAAAGTATCCCTAGGGGACAGAGAGATACTGCACATAAAGTGCTTGCCTTGCATGCAAGCCAACCCATGTTCGATCCCTAGCTTTCCATATGGTCCCCCCAAGAACTACCAGGAATGATCCCTGAGTGCAGAGCCAGGAGTAAGCCCTGAGCATAATTAGGTGCACCCCTGCCATCCAAAAAAAACAAAAAGGAAGAAAAAAAAAAGAAAGTTTCTCTATAGTAAAGAGACTGGAAAATAGGAATATTTAAGTCTGCAATAGGAAGCAGCTGTCACTGTCACTGTCACTGTCCTCCTGTTGTTCATCGATTTTGCTTGAGCGGAAGTAAAAAAATCTGAGGAAGTCAAGAAAGTTATCAGAAATGTCTTCTGGGAAGGTCCGTGAAGATGGGTTTGCCATCTGCCTCCCATTTCTATCTTTGCAGCATTTAGCATAGTTCCTGGTGAGTAGCATTCAATATGCAATTCTCTAAATAATCAAAAGTTGTCAGGAGGAAGGGAAAGCTACAAATACCATAAAGTACAGCAGCAAGGTGACTGTGTGTACCTGTCTATGTGATGCAGTGAATAAAGAAACAAGTGAGAATGAAGACAAGGACTGAAGGCTTAACTTATAAAACATTTGACTGAAAAGAGAAATGTAATAGGAGTTAAAGGGGAAAAAGTGGTTAGGATAATGTTTTCTTTTCCTTTATAAGATCAAAAAATGTGAGAAAAATATTTTTCAGGTTAGAGAAGGGGAAAATATTGAATCAAGGTCTCCAAGAAGACGGAAGTGGATAAACTGCAGAGAAGAGACAGGTTAGCTTAGAGCTGCTGAAAAATTCAAGTAAGGAGGGAGAAAGGAGCTGTGTGGTCATAGAGACATTTTTTGGTTGAGGAGGGGTTTAGGAATAACTCATCTGATTACCTCTTTTTCTCTCCAATAGATATCTATTTAGAAAATTACTCTGAAAAGAGGAAGATGATGTATCAAGAAGACTACACTTAAGAAAAGCTACATGTGTCTGACCAAAAAACAATAGTATCTTTCCTCAGACATGGGTAGATTCCAAAGAAATTCGACCCCAGGCACACTGCAAAAAATAGGGCACCATCTCTCCCCCCTCCCACCACATACCACTATGATCACCATCACAACAAAAGAAATTTGAGCAAAACTTGAAAAAAATCTGTGAAAAACAGTGTGTCACAAAAGTGGAATATGGGAAAGGATTTTCAATGTTCAGCTTCAGTAAACAGTTAAATCTTTAACTAACCGTGTCCACATTCAATAATGATAATATTGTCTAAAGTTGTAGGAATGTCATTTGATGACATTTTGGATGATTCTTACATACTTGAGACAACACCTAATATTAAGTTACAAAATAGAGCCAGCACTTAACTACAGATACACATAAGAGCCTTTAATGAGACAAATTTTAATATTAATCATAGTCCCTAAACTACAATTTTTTAAAAAAGAGTCTGAGTTCATAATAAAACTTGAGATCTCATATAGCTTACTGGTAGCAGAGCATCCCTTGGGAGAACTCTATTAGTGTTTTGATATGGGTGTGCAATAGACTCATTCAGTATTCATCCAGTACTTGCTCCCTTACCACATGCCACCACTTTTTAGTGTTGGAGATGTTGCTATCATCAAGATAGGGCTTTGTTCCAGTGAAATTCATCTTCTAGAATGTGTGTCAGCAGACAGTGTTGACTATGATATTCTAAATGCATGACCCAGGATGGCTGTTAATTTCCAGCTATTATTTTTTTTATTGTTGAGAGTGCGGAGAAGAAAGAATGAGGTGTAGGGGTCCACAAGATCCACAGAACGTAGTGCTTACATACCATGGACTTAAAATTAAGTCACTTGGTTGTGCATAGCTGCAAGGGAGGCTTGAAAATGTAGTTATATTGCTAAGTAAACTAATGCAGAAGGAAGGACTGGATATTGAAGAGTAGCATGAGAAAAATTTCAACTTAATCAAGAATTATCACAATAAGGGGCTGGAGCAATAGCACAGCAGGTAGGGCGTTTGCCTTGCACGTGGCCGACCCAGGTTCAATTCCCAGCATCCCATATGGTCCTCCAAGCACCGCCAGGAGTGATTCCTGAGTGCAAAGCCAGGAGTAACCCCTGAGCATCTCTGGGTGTGACCCAAAAAGCAAAAAAAAAAAAAAAAGAATCATCACAATAAAATGTCATAGCCCTTTGAACATGCATACGAAAAAGATATACAAGAAGTTCTGGGTTGATATTTTCTTAAACCAAGAGCACAGAAAATGTGGAGAGGCTTAAACTATAGATTCAGACAAGATCAGGCAAAAGATTTATATGGATGCCAAGTATGTTATATGTTGCAACTGACTGGATTCTATCTAGAGTATTAGAACTCGGTTGTTTTTTTTTTAGAATCTTGACACAATATGCACATTTATTATACATAAAA